TAATAAGTATATTTTGGAAACTATACTTGTTTTATGGCGAGGGGTTACAATATTTTCAGAAAGGTTTTTACAAAACTTTATTTTTAGGCCTACTCACCCTTATTTTTCGCCCCTCCAGGTTTAGTAGCTAAGTTTTCATACCAACGAGGATTATTGGCAAATCTTGGTGTAGACGATTACCTTTGATGGTATAATTTCTCACCTTATTTTATTGTATTGTACTTAGGCTCTATCATCACATGTGAAATGGGTTCATTCCTGCTCACAGCGCACTCTTATATTTAGGCACTTTTATGTTTAAATTTATTCACATTTCCACATCACTACACTTTATGGCTTCGTCACCCTCCGGGTGTTAACCAGCATAACTCGATTCGGAGTCCAGGTGAGCATTCCGGGTCAGGGTGTGTCAATCTCACTAGAACTGAACTAATATAAAATGTGGACAATTTAGTAATTACACCGAACACAAATTGTACTTGTTTTTTATACTAACATAACAACAATGCAAATATAGCATATCCTATTTAAAAATAAAAAAAATAAATAAATAAATACACCTCACTTTTCTCCTCCTTTTTCTCTTCTATTTTTTTATTTTATTTTCCTTTTTCTAGTTGTCATCCGTGCTCATTAATAATAAGTTGTTGTAAAATAAAAAATCAAATAAATTAGTTGCACACGTGGAACGTGTGTGCCAATTGCTAGTATTAATAAGGAGGAGGGAATAGCCACTTAGTACTATGGTCTAGTAGTATTCCTCTTCGCTAGTAAGTGAAAGGTCTTAGATTTGATTCTCGCCAAAGGTGAATTTGAACCACATTATGCTAGCCCATTGTGAGGCCAAGCCTACCCCCATCCTCTTAGTGTAGATAATATTGTTTGTTCAAAACATAAATAAATAAGGAGGAGGGAATAATTTGTTCTCCAAGTAATACAAAGTCAAATAGAAAAAATCTTCTAGATCTCAAAGAATTCCTAATTTATTTCTACTTAGTATTTACACTATTATACTATATGAAATATTAATTACAACACTCCCCTGAGTATGTAAATACTCAAGCAGTATATGCATCATATCTTCAGCCAAATATGGAAGTAGTTGATCTCGTAGGCACAATGAGCGAATGCGAGTTTCAAAACAACGGAAAAATGCATAAGAATTAAAACTTGCAAGACCTCGCTCTGGTAAAAACCCAATGTAAGATAAAACCCATAGTCGAAGGAGAAATGTGAAAAGTTGCATTAAGTCAAAACTAAATGGCTTCAAGGCGCAAGTAGAACACAAACTTCAAGTATAATGGCACGCCCAATCAGTTCAAGTTGATAGAAAATGTAAAATTGTGAACTTTTGTATGTGATTTATATACATAATTAGTTAACCCTTCCAAATAGCCCAGAAAATAATAGCCATCAAAAGGCCTAAAAGCGCGCAAGGGGCCACCCATTAATAGTAATGGAACTCTACGCAAAGTTTCAGTAAATAGAGCCAGTGTAAGAAATTAAAGGAAAAAGGGAAGAGATTTGAGATTTAAAGGGAAAGAGCATTGTTTTCATTTTGCATAAAACCTTACAAGGCACAGTCTTACATATTTATATTCAACTAAAAAGAAGAAACCTAGCTAAATGAGGAAAACATAGCCACCACTACATCGTTCCAAGAGCTTGGGAAATTTGGGCTTTGAGAAACAAAACTAGTTAAAAGATAAAAAAAAAAGGCATGGACTGAAAGAGCTTATAGGCCCAATGACATGGTTCCAACAACTCCCCACATCCATGAGGATAATGGGCAAGTATGTTGTTGGTTTCCTTCTAGGTAGCATATTCGGTTGGTAATCCTTGCCCGTTTGATGAGCCATTTGGTCACTACCTCATTCTTTTTTTTTTTTTTTTTTTTTTTTTTAATTCTTCTATCTAGAATCTCCTCTGGTTGCCAATTTAAGAAGTCAATAAAGTCAATTGGTGGTAGAGTTGGATTAAAAGAAGCGGTGTCGCTTTTTCTTGAGAAAAGACATACGGAAGACGGGGTAGATCTTCAAGTTGGTGGAAGATGGAGATGATAAGCCACAAACCCAATGCGTGCCTAAATTTGAAATGGGCCATAAAACTTGGGTGCAAGTTTGTTGAATTGGCAAGTAGCCACCGATTGTTGCCTACATGGCTGAAGCTTGAGGTACACCCATTCACCCACCATAAACTCGCGTTCCATTCTTTCTTTGTCATAGATTTGTTTCATCCGATTTTGATCAAGCTGCAAGTTAGCTCATAAAAGACGAAGCAATTTGTCTCAACCTTGTTAAGTTGCATCAACAAAGTGGACCGCAGTTGTTTTAGGAATATAAGTGTGAATGGATGAAGAGGGCACAACGTATAATGCTTGGAATGGAAACCTTTTGATGGCGGATTAGAATGTGGTGTTGTACCACCATTCGACCAAGGGAAAAAGAGTGAACCACTTGGTGGGTTTATCTGCAGAAAACAGCAGAGCTAATGCTCTAATGTTCAATTGAGAACTTCAGATTGGCCATTTGTTTGAGGGTGGTAAGCATTGCTATACCTTGGTGTTTGAAAAACTTTTCCCAGAAGTACTGAGAAAGGTTGGGTCATCAGAAACAATCGACTTCGGCATGCTATGAGGTGAAAGATCTCTTTAATGAAGGTGTCGACTACGGATGCAGAAGTATATGGATGTTTAATTGGAATGAAGTGACCATATTTGGTTACATGATCCATGACCACTAATATGACAGTGTAGCCATTTGAGGATGGTATGCCTTCGACGAAAACGAGGGCAATGTCTTACCGAATGCCATCAGGAATGGGTAGGGGTTGCAAAAAACTAAGTGGGTGGATGTCTCATTATTTTGTCTTTGGCATTCCGTGTAGGTGGAAACAAAGTGCTTCACATCTTTTTGTATTCTTGGCCGAAGGAAACTGAGAGAAACTCGGTGATAAGTCCTGAGGAAACCTGAGTGACCACCTTGCAAAGAAAGGTGAAATTCTTCTAATTGCGCCACTGTGAAGGAGAAGGAACAAAGACGCGTCGTTTATAATTGATGACACCATTAACAACTGAAAATCCTCGAATGGTTGTGTTTGGTGACTGAAGCAATGTAGGCTGGATAATTTGGACTTGTGGGCCCGTGGCATAAGATTGATGTGATGGATGACACCCTCAATGTTTTAAAATATAATTCTAAGATAGAAAGAAAGCTGAAAATGTAGAAACCCACGTAACTTGGCATAGAAGAGGAAAATGATGTACATGCGAGAGGATTTTTCCATGCATCACTTTTAGCATTTTGTTATAATTAATCATTAAATTGAATAAACCAAATAAAAATCCTTATATATATTTATCATTCAAGAAAGGGTAGTGTTAAGGAGATCAAAATTTTAAACTAAATCTGCAAACTTAGTTTACAAGTATTAATTAAGTGTTGATTAATTTGCAAACTTAACAACTACCACATCATTTGGTTTACAAGTTTAAAAATTTTGTCCCTAGCATTACCCTTTGAGAAATGTCAAGAAGACTCTCAAAAGTCGGACTCTCCATTCTCTGCCACCTCATGTTTTTGAAACGATATTGTATAATGTTGAAACGAGAATTAACATTAAACTATAAGTTGGGAGAGAGTGCATGAAGAATCCTATTTGAGAGAATCTCCTTAAGCATTTCTCCATTCATTTTTGTATGTAAATGCAACAAAATTTCGTTCAAAAGAATTGGCAATAATCATTCCAACTCGTGACCGAGTATTTATCATTTATAGTCAAAATTTAACCTCTAAATTCACAAATGTCAGTTCTTACAAAATCTTTTAAATATAGCAAAAAAAATATGCTTGAATTGACCTAAATACATACAAAATTAAAACCCATGTTATTTGGGATTCTCACCCGCTATCCCTTCTTCATCTTCTTCCTCTATACAATAAACCAATTTTCAGGCCGAAGCCCTATTTTAACAACTTTAAACATTCACTTCAAAACCTAATTTGGTTTCTTCCTAAATTGAGAGGTAGCCCGATGGGAACTTTCATCCTTCTGGGTTAAAGATTTTTCAAAAATAATATTATTTTATTGATATTGGAGATCCACATAAGACCAAACCACCACTATGATTCCGTGCACCAAAAATTGAAATTGAATAATAAAATCAAAGAAAATAGAACATGAAAATAGGGAAACCAAGTTGAACTATACAATCAAATGGAAAAGGCGAATTGTAACCCAAAAAAAAAATCTAAAAAGGATAATACGTCGTAGAACTTAAAACTTAATTGCAAGAAATTGACACCAATATATAAAAATTCGTAACAATATGAAACCAAAAAAATTATAGATTTTAATCCTCTTTTAATTGCTATTCAATTAACTCAAGTATTTACCGATGAGAGCTTGTAGAGGCGAAGCCTCTGCAGTCTTCGTCTATACTCTTTGTGTGGAACTCCAGTCTCCATCTTTGAACAAATGCAAAAGATCAAACATGTTTTAGCTTATGGTTGTAAATCGGTTTTATTATAAGGGTATTTAGGTCTGTTCCAGTTCGTTTTTTGATATATTTGAAAAGTATTATAAAAACTGACATTTTTAAAATTAGATACTAACTTTTGGCTCTAAGCTATAAACAACAAAAACTCATCATGACCAATATTTAAAATTTCTTTGATACGGTCAATATTTTAATAGAAATATCGAAAAAATTAGAGAAACATATGGAAATGGGGATGAAGTGTAAACTTCACTTGATATTGGAGAAAAATTCTTAAGTTTAGGCAAAAATCGATAGATATCATCGATATTTCTAAAACATATGTTAAATATCGAATAAATTCTTATATTTCATTCAAACTAATTTTTGACAATTCCTAAAATTTTATTTTAAATTTCTTTCATTTTCATCAAAATCAACCGATATTGATATTTCGATCGATATCAATATTTTAAACACGGCTGGTTGGTGACGATAAAATGGCAAAGCAATGTACTGACCTTCGAGTGTCTATGTCGTGTGTGCGAGCCACACCTACGAGTCTACGACCCATACCAAAGCCAAAACCCAGCGTACAGCGTTTATACGTCCCCCAAATTTACTTGCATTTCAGCCTTCGATTGTCATTTGAGTGAGTGGCTCTCCTCTTACCTTCTCCATCAACCCCTCTCTCACTCTAACCTGACCTTCGTCCATGGATCCTTACAGGGTACTACTCTAATCTTATTCTTTATCTTTCTGGGATTTATTTATCACATGTTTATACTTTTGATTTTATTTATTTTAGTTTGATTTTCTTGATTAATTATATTTTCTCGGCAACAAACAGAGCCTTATTGGTTTAGCTTTCTAATGGTTTTGGTTTTGGATTGGTTTGGTTTGTCTGTGTTGTTGTTGCAGCACCGCCCTTCAAGTGCTTTCAATTCTCCGTTCTGGACCACAAATTCCGGTGCTCCGGCTTGGAACAACTCCTCTCTGACTGTTGGATCCAGAGGTAATTGTATTTTTATCCCCTTGAATTTATCTATTTATTTTTTCTTTTGATGGATTTTCAATTGCAAATTTGCATTGAACTTTTACTTATTGTGTTTTTTAGTTGCACATCGCTTTTCAAGCACCTTGTCAATAATCATAATCATGTATGTGTGTGTGTTTATTTCTGTTTTCTGAGAAAGCTTCAATGTTCTGTCTATGTTATTGTGAGCTACAAGATGATTTTGGATGTTTCTATCACGAACAAGTTGAGGATGTGATTAATTTTTTGAAACTCTTGTTGTTTTTGAGATATATATTTATATATGATCAATGTTTTAAAAGATGAAGGCTTAGGCGAGGGTTTCAAGGATACCCCTGCCTAGGAGAAAGCTTTGAGGCGTGAGGCTATTTTTTAATATATGTATTATATATAAAATATAATACTTGGTAAAAAAAAAAAAAAAATTTAATCAACAATCAAACAGACCAGTGACCAAATTGAGATTAGAATACCACTTGAATTATGAAGCAAATTGTGGTGGTATAGAGAATTTTGAAACAAAATGAGGTATGAGATTGGGTAAAATTGAAATATAGGATTGGTACTGAGAATTTAGGTTTGAGGAATTGGGGATTGGGTGAATTATGAATGGGAGAATCATGTATTGGGATGGGGAAGAGAAGCAGGGGGAGCTACTGGGGTTTATACAAAAATTTAGACTTGGCCAAAATGATGTTGTTTTGGGCCAAGTTAACAACAACAACAATAAAGCATTTTCTCACTAAGTGGAGTCGACTGTATGAATTCTAAATCGCCATTGCACTTGGTTCTGTTTTGGGTCAAGTCATTTAAAAAAGTTTAAAAGACTTCGCCTAAAACGACGTCTTTTTGGGCTAAGTTATTCAAAATAAAAATCTTTCTTCTTCTTCTTGTTCGTGGTCGTCTTCTTCGTGGAGACGCCGCCACTGGAACACAAAGCCCCCAGAGGACAGAGCCTCAGAGCCCCAACCTTCGACTTTGAGGGGTCCCCAGGAAATTTCAAGCAATAATTTCAAATCACTGAAGGGTCCTAGGAATGCCCAGTCAAACGCCTCAGGCACGCCTCAAATAAGTCAAGGCAAGTTTAAGCCTACTCTTGCTGGGCAAGTGCATTTTCATCAACACCCAACCTCCAAAGCCACCTAGGCGTGTTTTTTAAAACACTTGTATTAAGAAAATATATACATATAATACGCTACTATGACCATAAGAATGTGCACTCAACAGATCAAAAGCTTAATGGGTCTCAAAAGTACATAGTTTTTCCTTATAAAGTATATTTGGACTATTTTCAGCATTCATGGGAAAAACGAGTGTGCGTTTGGCACCGTTTGGAACTTAAGCAAATAAACATATATAATACGCTACTAGGACCATAAGAATGTGTACTCAAAAGATCAAAAGCTTATTGGGTGTCAAAAGTACACAATTTTTCCTTATAGTTTGTATTTGAAGTTAATTCTTTCCTTGTTTGACATTTATGTTTAAAATTTTCAACTATAGTTCCCAGTCTATCAATTTTCATTGAATTCTTGTGGCCCCCTTTTTTTGTTGCTTTTTTGGTTGTCAAGGTGGATTTTTGGATCATTTGGTTGCCTGAATCTAAATAAATGTTACTATATTTGACATACTTTATAAATTGTATTACAACTAATTTCATTCTTATCACATATTTTGTATGTAATCTGGATGGTTGATTATGTTGAGTTGAGTAGATGCAGTTAAGAATTTAAATCTTCGTCTATTTTTCAGGTCCACTTTTGCTTGAGGACTACCATCTGGTGGAGAAACTTGCCAACTGTGATAGAGAACAAATCCCAGAACGTGTTGTCCATGCTAGGGGAGCCAGTGCAAAAGGTTTCTTTAAGGTCACCCATGATCTATCTCACCTTTCATGTGCTGACTTCCTTCGAGCCCCTGGAGTTCAGACACCTATCATTGTGCGCTTTTCCACCATTATCCATGAGCGCGGCAGCCCTGAAACTCTGAGGGATCCTCGTGGTTTTGTGGTACACCCAATCGGTTCAAGAGGTTAATTTGGCAATAATTGTAAACAGTGCAAGTAATTTTAAAAAGGAGAAGGGACGAGAAGTTCAAGACAAAGAAATGAAATTTTCATTCATTCATTCATTCATTTTTATCCCCTTGAACATGAAACATTACATTATTTATATTCAAGCTAGAAGATAAACCCTAGCTAAAAGAGGCTTGGGCCAAGAGCAACAAAATCAAGTCAAGGGTTGTTAAAAGAGCGTTGCACTATAGCTGATAGGCCCAACCAAGTGGTCCTAACAACTCCTCCCTTGAAACGAAACCTGTCCTCAGGTCGCAAAATCTGGGTAGCGGGCGAGAATCTCATTAGCTTCCTCCCATGTGGCATTTTCTGCTGGAAGACCAAACCATTTGATAAGCCATTTAGTTACCACCGAGTTCCTCTTTTTGAACATGCCAATGTCCAAGATTTGCTTTGGTTGCCAATGTAAGGAGCCTGTGGAATCGATAGGTGGAAAAGTGGGGTTGGGGGAGATATTGGTTCCAATCTGTTTCTTGAGCAAGGACACATGGAAGACAGGGTGGATCTTGGAGTTAGGTGGGAGAGCGAGGCATTACATGACTGAGCCCATGTGAGCTTGCACCTAAAATAGTCCATAGAATTTGGGCGCCAACTTGTTAAACTGTCGAGTAGCAACTAATTGTTGGCGATACGGCTGGAGTTTGAGGTATACCCAGTTACCCACATTGAATTCCCTCTCTGTGCGACCTTTATCATAAGTTTGTTTCATTCGATTATGTGCCAACTGCAGGCTAACACGCAAGAGAATGAGTAATTGGTCACGGTCCTGCAAGGCTTGGTTGACAGAGTGCACAGCCGTAGTGCCAGGCATGTAGGTTTGAATGGATGGAGGAGGTACACCATACAACGCCTGGTATGGCGACATTTTGATTGCAGAATGGAAGGTGGTGTTGTACCACCATTCAGCCCAGGGTAGGAGTGATGCCCATTTGTGAGGTCAATCAACCGAGAGGCACCAGAGGAAGTGTTCTAAGGTTTAGTTTAGCACTTCTGATTGGCCATCGGATTGAAGGTGGTAGGCCGAGCTGTGACAGAGTTTGTTGCCCTGTTGTTTGAAAAACTCCTGCCAAAAGTGGCTTACAAATGCGGGATCACGATCAGATACAATGGACTTAGGCATGCCATGTAGACGAAAGACTTCCTTGATGAAGGTGTCGGCAATGAAAGCTGTAGTATATGGGTGTTTGATTGAGATAAAGTGACCGTATTTAGTCAATCTGTCCACTATGACCAGGATAACGATGTAATCATTAAAAGACGATAAACCCTCCACAAAATATAGAGCAATTTCCTACCAAATGCTGTTGGGAATGGGCAAAGGTTGTAAGAAACTCAGTGGGTGTATAGTCTCATTGTTTTGTCTTTGGCATTCATGGTATAGGGAGACAAAGGTCTTGACATCCTTACGAATACCCGACCAAAGGAAATTCCTTCATATTCGATGGTAGGTGCGAAGAAAACCTGAGTGACCTCCTTGCAATGAAGAGTGAAACTTCTGTAGTACTTTTTGACGCCACTGGGATGTAGTAGGAATGAAGACGCGCTGCTTGTAATCGAGAACTCCATTAACTAAGGAGAAACCGCGGATGACAACGGTGGGTGTTTGATTCAAAGAAGGCCAAATTGTTTGGGCTTGTGGATTAGTTGTATATGACTGTTGCAAATCAGGAATGCAATCGAAAATGGGAAAAGATAAGCCCATGAATAACAGCAACTCATGGAAGTAATGCGCTGCTCAAGGAAGTGTTTGAGTGGTTTGTGATCAGTGACAATATGAAATTGCTAACCGAGTAAGTAATGCCTCCAATTTTGCATAGCGAATGCGACCACAAGTATCTCTTTGTCATATGTAGAGAGGTGGAGGGTGCGGCCTAACAGAGCCTTGCTAAGATAGGCGATAGGATGCCCCGCTTGACATAAGACAGCCCCTATACCAAGATCTGAAGCATCAATTTCCAACATAAATTGCTTAGTAAAATCTGGTAGCGCAAGAACAAGTGTTGAGATTAAAGCTTGCTTAAGCTTGTCGAAGGCAACCAAGGAGTCTATGTTCTATGAAAACTTGTCATGTTGCAGCATATTGGTTAGTGGCTTGGCTATTAATCTATAATGACGGACGAATTTCCGATAATAGCAGGTTAAACCCAAGAAGCCCCAAAGGCCTTTGATGGTGGTTGGTTTTGGCCAGTCGACTATGGCTTGAATTTTGGAATTGTCGACAACGACTCCTTGTCCCGAAATAGAGTGTCCCAAATAATCCACTTTGTCTTGGCCAAATGAACATTTGCTAAGCTTGACTCTCATGCTGTGAGTAGACAATATTTGAAAAGTAGTCTCCAAATGGGAGATGTGAGTGGCCAATGTAGGACTATAGACAAGTATATCATAAAATAATATAAAACTAGGACAAACTTACGCAAATAAGGTCTGAATATTGAATTCATCAATGCTTGAAAAGTTGAGGGAGCATTGGATAAGCCAAATGGCATGACCAAGAACTCAAAGTGGTCGTCATGTGTACGAAAGGTTGTCTTGGCAATGTCTTCAGAGTACATTTGGATCTAGTGGTATCTGGAGCAGAGGTCGAGCTTAGAAAAAATTGTTGCTCTATGCAATTCATCAAGCAACTCATCAACAACGGGGATTGGGAAACAATCCTTTATAGTGGCTACATTCAAGGCTCTATAATCAATACAGAGGCGCCAAGAATCGTCCTTTTTTTTTTACAAGTATGACGAGAGAGGAAAAGAGGTTGTGGATGTAACGGATGACACCAGATTCTAAGAGTTCCTGCACTTGTTTCTTAATTTCAGCCTTTTAGGGATGGGGGTATTTATAGGGCCAGACGTTGACTGGTGTGGTATATGGTAGTAGGGGAATTTTGTGGTTTATTTGGTGTGGTGGGGAAAGGCTCGAGGGAATGGAGAAAAGGTGTTGGTAGGTGGTCAAAAGGGAAATAAGGGCTGGGTGGGTGTTAGGAGGTGGAGACAAAGGAGTATGGTAGGGTTGGATGTGGTTAAGGGAAAGGTCGGTATGGGGAGGTGTGTGTTGCAATGAGTGACAAGGTTGGAATGGTGGTTGAGTTGTGATAAGGCCTTGGAGAGTATGGGTAGAGCCCCCATCAGAAAAGATCATTGTCTTATTTCTGAAATGCCATCTAATAAGGTTGATGGATTCCAACCACTCAAAATCGAGGATCAAGTCATAATTTGGTATGTCTAGAAGGAGGAAAGAGCCTCGCAGTGTATAGCCTTACAAGTTGATTTCCACATCAGGAACTCGGGATGAAGCAGAGACTTGTTTGTGAGAGGTGGTGGTGAACTGAATTGGAGCAATAGGTTCGATTATCAATCCCAAGTGATGTGCAACCTTAGTATGAAGTAGATTGCAATCTACGCCGGAATCAATGAGGACCTAAATGGGGGTGGATGCAATGGAACCTTGTAGTCTTATCGGTTGACCAAAGTTAATACCTGGAATGGTAAAAAGGTCTAACATGTGGTACGAAGGATCGGGAGTGGGTTAGCCCTCCGATGTACAATCATGAAACTCGATGGTATCATACTCTGTGTTGGTTGCGTCAAGCAACACTATCATAGGAACTTTGCATTTATGTCCGGGAACGTAGGGTTCAGTGCAATGAAAGCATTCCCGTTTATGGATTTTGTCTTGAACCTCGGCAGGGGTCAACCGTTTAAATGGACCAAGATGGTGGTTTGGAGCTGGGAACGGACGGTGTGGTATGGATGTTTGGTGGCTTAGGTAGGTATGGTCGAGAGAATGGTGGCCGAGAGGTTCGTTTTGCCTGGTTCTTTGTCTAAAAAATCTTACCTAGTTTCTGAGCTTGATGGAGCGATTCAAGTTCCAGCGCAAGGACATCATGGCGGATGTCCTCTTTGAGGCTACCCAAAAACACATGTTTCAGCTGGTTGTTGGTCCAATCAATCACACGATAAGAGAACTTAGTAAATTTAGCAATATACTCATCCACAGTGCCCAATTGTTGGATGTGTGTGCGTTGGGATTCAATATTGGCCAGATCACCACCACCAAAACGTTGGAGCAAAAGTTGAACAAAGAGGCCCCAATTATCTCTGCCATATAGTTGTTCAGAACCCCGCATCCAAATAGATGCATTTACACCAAAGTTACAAGCTGCAACGAAGACTCATTGATGAGGAGGGACCTCATAGTAATCAAGGTATCGCTCAGCCATTGCCAATCAACCATAAGGGTCGTCCCTATTAAAATGAGGAAGTTGCATTTTGATGGGTTTAAAGTGATGGGAGAGATTTGGGTAGGTAACAAAGGTTGTAGGGGTGTGGGGTGCAGAAACAAGGGTTGGGGATGGTGCAACATGGAAGGAGGGGGAAGCGGGCGAAATGGTGGAGTAAAGGTGGGGAGAGAAAAATGATGAAGAAGCCTATGGTTGCAGAGAGTAGTTGGGTCTACTGGTAATGGTTGATGGGGATAGGTTGGGTCGAGTAGATGGAATGAAGGTAGGGATTGGGGTGAAGTTGGGGGATGGAGGGTTCGAGAGACCAAGACCCGAGCAGGTGGTTGTGGGCAGGGCAAAGAGGGAACGGAATGAAGGTTGACAGTGGGTTGTGGCGGGGGCGAAGAGGGAATAGAAAGAAGGCTGAGGGTGGGTTGTGGTGGGGGCGCAGAGGGGTAAGGTTAAAGGGTGAGGCAGTGGTTGAGGTTGGGGGAGTTGGGTGGGTAGATTTGAGGAGACATAGCTTATCCAACAACAAGGATTGGAAGGCTGCAAACTGAGTGGTCATGGTGTTTTGGAAGGCTGTATTGGAGGTGTTCAAGTCGTCGAGTGTCTTTTGGAACAAAGCGTGTTGGGTTTCCAAAGAGGAAAGAGAGTCACATACATCTTCTACCTGGGTACGCAAATGCTCATGATGAACATCAGCGGCAGTTGCAAGGGCGTGGGGGTCACAGTTCGGGGAAGGTGTGGTTTTGCCCATAGGTCGATGGGCTCTGATACCAATTGGTACACCCAATCGGTTCAAGAGCTTAATTTGGCAATAATTATAAACAGTGCAAGTAATTTTAAAAGGGAAAAAGGACAAGAAGTTCAAGACAAAGAAAGGAAAGTTTCATTCATTCATTCATATCCCCTTGAACATGCAACATTACATTATTTATATTTAAGCTAGAAGATAAACCCTAGCTAAAAGAGGCATGGGCTAAGAGCAAGAAAATCAAGTCAAGGGCTGTTAAGAGAGGGTTGGACTATGGCTGATAGGCCCAACCAAGTGGTCTTAACATTTTGCAGTGAAGTTTTACACCAGAGAGGTGAGGTTTTAATGGCTTATTGCTGTTGTATGACCTCTGGATAATGATAGTTGAGTTTTGACACGTCGGTGACCATAGTTATATTCAAGAGCATATTTATTTGTAATTGATGTGCAGTGGTATCTCTAGTGGTGACTTCCATGAAATATGGCGTTCATTCCTTTCTTTTCTTTTCTTTGTTTTTTGTTAAGTATTGTTTTGATTGTACAGATTGTTGATTTCTTGGTAACATTATTATTAACCATCTATAGCTCTTGGAAATCATTTAGTCGTATAGTTTTTGCTTGTCCATACATCCATTCCTCTCTTTACTCATGTTGTGACCTAATTCTTCTTAAACGTTTAACACGGTAATTTTGACCTGGTGGGAAATAATTTCCCCGTCATTTTTGTCCGTGATGGAATGAAATTCCCGGACATGGTCCATGCTCTCAATACGAACCCCAAGTCCCACATCCAAGAGAATTGGAGGATCCCTGACTTCTTCTCCCACCATCCGGAAAGCCTGCACATGTTCACCTTCCTATTTGATGACCTGGGAGTTCCACAAGATTATAGGCACATGGAAGGCTCTGGTGTTAGCACCTAGACTCTTATCAGAATGGCTGGGAAGGCCTACCCTGGGTCCAATGGTCCTTTCCCTTTCGAGGTTGATGCCTCGCATACGATTATTATTCAATTTTTTTCAACAAACGATATTATCTACACTAAAAAGGTAGGAGAGTGAACTAAGCTTCACAATAGGCTACCAATAAAGTGCTTCGAATACGCCTTTGACGAGAATCGAACCTAAAACCTCACTTACAAATGAAAAAGAATATTACTAGACCGTAATACTAAATAACCCTCGCCCACGACTATTGACGAATAGTTAATCTCGCCAATCCTTTTCTATTTTCATTTAAAAAAAAAAAAAGGCGGCGCATGATTAATAAAAAGTTTTCCATTTCTTTTATTGGAGCTATATATGAAGATTATGAATGATGCACTCGAAAAATATTTCTTTAATTTGATTGATGCACAGATTCTTAAAATGGATGGATAAAAGGTAGAGCCTCTCCTCCGTGTACAAACATGGATGGGCAGTCCTCTTCGTTTCCCCAATGCTCCTCGGATAGTCGGATTTGTATTTCTTTTGACGGGTAGCTAAGTTTCACGGTGGTGGGTGATCATCCTCAGGGGTTTGAGGAGGGATAGGTATCCAACCTGGTTTCTCATCCCAGTACATGTCATAGTATATGTGACCAGGAGTGTGTTCGGCAACACAGCACCATATACCAATATACCGCTTCACACGGTTCCTGAATTTCTCTTCCCTTGCCTGACCATAAATTTCACAAAGCATCACATCAGCACACGATAACTAAGCATGTAGTGCATGTTCAGGGATTAATTCAAAACCAAAGTAAAACAGAAACACCAAAGACGATGAAAAGGCTTGCCTTGTTGGTGAAACCCGCGAATGCATCTTGCATAGAAGAAAACTGAATTACTTTTACATCCTTGAATGAGGAGAATACTGTCTTGAACTGCATATACAAGTGAAAACCAATTTCGTGTTAAGTTACTCAGAGTTAGAACATCAGGATTCAAAAGACACTACTTATTAATAGGGTATAAAATACACATATATTAATGTATACTCTTTCAAGAAAGAAATAAAATGCACTCACACACGCACAAACGTGCACACACATATTAATTCAGATTACCGTTTCTTCGTTGCTTCTCTTTGGAAATCTGAGTGCTCCTAAAGGGCTGGTAGTGTTTAAAGCAACAGAGTCTCTGGTTCCTTCTTGACAAAGCTGGACATCAAGCCATGATTCTTTCACCTAAAACGAAGTTCATAAATGAAGTTTTCCGCTTAGTGACAGAATCAATAAAACTGATACTTTTGACTTAAAATTTTCATAGACTCATTTACCTGTTTCGGCATCAATGGATTGTCAAAGAATGAGTATTCTCTAATACCGATTTGGGGCCCAAATATCTCCTCTGGCGATTCCTTAAGCATGACATTCACCTGCAACACACTACACTTTTGTTAGCTTCCACTTCCAGAGGCGATTTCATAATAGAACCTTGAGATACACCAATGTTCCTATGAATTATTTGTTCAATTCTTAGGAAGCTTCACTAAGTACAAACCCATTAATCTAAACAGTGGATCTTAATCAGTTTAAACTAGATGTAAGATTTGACAAATGACGAAGGTGAAGAAAAAAAATTAGAAAATCAAAATTGTCCACGGGCAGGTGTAGGAAAATAATTAAATAACTTCTGTATGCCTCTTTTTCTCTCCTCAAATCCTTTTTTTCCAGTTTATTGTATTTAAGCTTCTCAAGTATCCAATCCAACCATGCATGAAATTTCTTGAAATTTTTCATATTCTATTAATCAGGGATTAGAGACAGTATTTTGAAGCTTGGCCAATGCCTTTTAAATGTTTATATCAAATGGTCCACACATAGGATAGAGAAAAGGGAAAATTTTGGAAACACATCTTGTGGTTAGATCGTAAAACATATATTGTCCTTGGGCTTTACTTCATGACGCCTGCACTTTATGTCATTCCTCAGTAACAAAAAAAACCATTGATTTTAAATTAACATTGATGGAAGAGAAGTAGAGATTAGGCATGATTTTGATTGAGTCTTACCAAAATCATGTGCAACAGAGGTGCTTTATTTCCTACCAAACTTAAATTTTGTGTGTAATATAAAGGAAACCACATAGACATGTATGAGACAAAATAAACCACGAGGATGAAACATGTTATAGGGCCTAAGTTATGACTGGTTTATCTGTAGTTCTGTTTACCTAAAAAAGACATTGTATTACCAGATGACTATTATGATGTGCATAAATAAAGAAAAGGGGAAGCCAATTCCCTCAACCATCATGAGGGGCAGTCGCACCACATCCAAACAAAAAAAATCAAATAAGAAAGAAAAGACGCTACCAGAAAACATCCCCTCTAGGAAAACCCCCTTCGCAATAAATCATGCTAAGAAATGGCAATTGGGTTATCACAATGAGATTCAATCAGAAAATTCAACTGACACTTCTAGTACTCCTAGTAGTTTTTCGCAATGCCAGTAACAGCAAAGTAATCAGCACAAATAGTCATTCAGACTCCATCACACGTATAAATTGTGGAGAGGGGAAAAGGCTAAAATTCTAATTGAGCCACTTGCAAGGACGACCAAGTTGATAATGTGATCACTGCTTTTTGTCCCATGACATTGTAATTCAAATCGTTACTTCAAACAATTAAACTTTAGCAGAAAAGGAAAATTGAGTTAATATGGTAACCGACTCAATTTAAAAATTGCAACCCACATCCTGCTGTTTTAGTACAAAGGCTGCTTTAATAACAAACTCTACCAACGGATTGGAAACTTTATTACAAGGGTAATTTTCCGAGCAATCTTGTCTATTGAGGAAGCAAAGATAACAAACTGAATAAAGTTAGATCCTACAAACTGGACGTACCTCAAATACATGATCTAGAGGGCAAATAAAAGGTTGTCGAGTGATAGATCCCTCAAGAACACCAGGATGGGGAAACCACAGCTTATCCAACCTGCACCACAGTCGAGGCATCACCTATAAATCCCAAATAAAAGAGATGAAGATTAAAATACATAAGCAGAAAAATGCATATTTCATCTCAACTATAATGTATTCCAAACTTGTAAACTAAACCCTACAACCATAACTACATATCCTAGCACTGTTGTTTGATTAATTAGAGGACCCATTTTTGTCCCTTATCTTATAACCCAAACCAAGAAACAAAAGAGCATAGTATCTATAGTGTACATTAAGTGACAAATCAAATTGCACTGGGTTAAAGTTGAAGCATCCAATCGAAAACCACTTGGCTACTAGCGGAGAGGCCTAAGACTATATGTTGAGATACAAGCACTAGTATATCAGATGTAAAAATTTTATATTTTCAACACCATCTCATGTGTGGTGGTCTGAGGCAAACGGATGGATTAATTTATTATGGGATGAGATGGAGCACGTGTGGCCGAATTGGCCACGAAATGTGGATGAATTGCCCCACTCATATACCTTGTCAAAGTTAGACTATGCATTAAAAAACCAGTGGATTATTAGAGGAGAAGCCCATGATTTAATACATTGAGAGAGATACAAGGCTTAGAATATCAGATTTGAGATTTCTATATTCTCACAGAAGACATTACTATGTACTTATGAATATCAGTCAGGATCCTACTATATTGTTAAACGTGTAGGTCCTTACAAGATTTAGACTTTTGAATGACATTTGTTTTTTTACAAATTACACCAAGCCTTGTACGTGATATTTTATGAAGCATGCACAGTGGAACATGTTTGAATAAGGCCCCAATTTCCATGCAAGATGATGATGATGATTGCATCAACGCTTGTGTTGATGGTGAATTGTAACTTCACCCAGCTACATCTAAACAAACCAATCTCAAACTCCTTTAATGATCTGGAACTAAATTCATTCACCCATTCATCACCATAACATTTCAGTCCAACAAAATATACTGTGACATAAAAGAAAATGGAGAGATACATATTTTTCTTACCAAGGTTCGATTCAACAAAGAAGCAATAGAAAGAGCCATCCTTATCTGTTTTATCTGAAGAAAAACATTTAGTATATAAATTACAAGATGCAACATTATGATAACCCCGTCCAATGAATGTGAAAAGTTAATAGAAGCAGGTACACGCATACTTGGTAATTAATAAGAGAAAAATGTGATTTAACATTATGCTCCCCATCTAGCAACAAGCTCTTAGGAATAGATGGCTTAAATGACAAAAAACCTCCTGCATAAATTTCCAAATACCTTGTTACAAACGATGTGAAGCAGCAATTGTATAAAAAATAGTCATCAGTACTATTTGAACAAAAGACGTAGTGGCATATCCATGTATTCACGTGATCAACTATTCCTTTCCAAATCACAAACCTTTTGATTGACGAGGAGGTTTGAAGTTCTGACTGAAAAAAAGATTTAGATAGTGTTTTTCGAATGAACACTGAAATGGTCTCGCATTCCTATAGAATGTTCATTCCCCCAAATAATAGAAAATACCATTCTATTCCAATGCTAATTCTAGCTACCAAATTGTACCTTAGTTTCTTTAGTACAAGAGTAAATAGCAGAACTGTAAATGTGAAAGATCAAGTTCAATGAGATTGGAAAGAAACCTTAGGAGAGATGATTCAAAGAATGATACCAAGCATTCAGTTAAAGCAAACAATTGAAAGAAAAATGCATCCTAATAAGATTGAGAAGAAATAAAATGTATGGCACAATGTCAGCGATATTTCCTTTTAGTACCTGGTGCATCATAATATTCTGGTGGGTCATAGAAAACCATGCCTTCCCGTAGTCGGTGGCGTTTTCCTTCAGTACCTGCATACTGGAATTTGGTATGCACTGCATACGGCTCCAACCTCAACTGTTGATACATGGCCTGTCATCAAAGCATTAAAGAATTAAAGCTTAGGGCTTATGTGAAACAAAACCTTTTATAGCCTAGGTGGATTACGTCCATGCCAGACACCTAACTTTGATAGCGCAATTAATGAAAAAAAAGGAATAACACTATAAATCTTGCCAAGATAAAATGAGAAGATCTAAAGTCCAAACTATCAAATAAAACCCACACCATCTACCTGGACAAAATATGTATGCCCACTACAAAATATACTTGCGGGCAAAACTCCCAGCTTGAGACTTCCATCAAAAGCATATACAAGTCCACTCTCCTCATCAACTGGTGGTCCTAACTGTCTTCGTACAAGATCATTAAACACATTCTGGTCCCATATCTTTTCATCAGCTAGAAGCATATCTTTCCATTCCTTAGCCAATCTTTTAGCAGGATCTGTTGGCCGCCAGTGGAAAATTCCAATGTTGTAGGCAGCACCAACTGTTAAAGGCGAAGATACTACAGCTTTTTAAAATTCTCAAAAGTGAGGTAACCATAAATCTATCTATCATGAAAATGAACCATAACCGAAGCAATAACTTTGAAAATGAAAAATAGACAAAGGTGACCAGACGCTAAGCCGGAGTCAAAATTGGACTGTACGAAACAATGTGGCTAGAGTGTGAACTGTGCATATTAGTTGTTAACCATGGGCACAACTTTTATGTTCAAAAATAGACATTGGTGAATCTTTTAAATCCAGGAAAGGAGTTGCAAAAACGTACAGCATGTGCATAAATTCCTTAATATACTACAGTCAACACTGGCATATATATTAATCCAACTTGGTATATGTACAAGAAGAAGATCCATAGAATCAAATAGACACAAGAGTAACATATTAGTATAGGTTTTTTAGGAGTAGGACAAAAAGCATATTCAGCAGTTCTTTTTCTTTTCTAAGTGCCTAAACACCCAAGAATAGTAATGAAGGTATCTACAGAAACGAAGAGTTCGGATCTTGTACTAGTATCTCAGAGAGGTCGAACCATGGTAATCCTTTGTGCTGGGATACATTTTCATATCACCAGATGTTATGCAAGTTTTACAAAAATCATCCACATGGAATAGCTTCATACAAAGAATAATGGAGAACAAAAAGAGAAATATTTTTATACAAAATATTCACCTTGTTGCCAAATGTCCAACCTGTCATCAGTGACTGTTGGCACAACTTGATCACTGGAAGTTAAGACATCTGCTTCCAGATAGCGAGCAAGATATGGAAGTGGGTCCTGTCCCACGAAAATGAAAATAATTTATAAGAAATTTGATAACTCATAATGCCAGACAAAGGAACTAAACAATTAAGACTTAAACTAGCTGCAAAGTACCTTCAACCAAACCATGTCTGTATCACACATCAAGAGTTCAAAACCATAAGGAAGGATTGAGTCTATCAGGATAACCTTTTCTCTTCCCATCTTGTGGAATGTTGGTGATCCCCATCCGACATCTATTGTGCTCATATGGCTGCCCATGTCAAATACTGGAACTCCTTTCCAATACAAAGCCTCCAACAGTTTGGCGTCCATTGCACCTAACTCATGAAGTTCAAACTCAGAGTTGCAGACAAAAAATTCGGGAAATGGAACAATATATGCATACAAACTGAGAATACGGGTAGCTTACCAATGAGAAGGTTAGAAAGCCCCAGATCAGTCAAGTGTTTAACCCAGGTCAGGATAAAATCCATGAATGCATAATTCCCAAATGTCACTATAACGACATTATCCTTCACTCTTTGCTGAACTAGCTCTTTGCTCAGTCTAAATTTCTTCAAAGGTGGCATTTTCTTTGTGCGTGTGGGAGCTTCCCAAATAGGTCTTGTTGACATGCTTTGAGGCCCCAGTGAAGGTGTGGACATTGCTTGAACTATTTCTGGTTGAGAAACATTGGGTGCTTGCTCTAACGGAGGAGAACCTACATATGTAACAATTTATGCATTCACATAAATAAAACACATGCACGAACAACAAGGAGACTGGGAAAATAGACAGATTGCTTATTGAATGAACACAAACCATTGCAACAAGGGGTGCATTGAAAAAAAATAAAAAGGTCTTGAGTTATAAAATATTACTGACTGCAGGGTAATCCATAATAAAACGTCAATATTAAATATACACAAAATTTGGTGCATATATCCAAAGCGGCAAAATAAGAGCAAGAAAATATGTTATACAAAGGCAGTTACTACAATATATAAATTCGAAATTTTGGTATATAACAACAACAACAACCATAGAGTCGATCACCTTTTCTTCTACCCAACCCGAAAGGAACATTAAAAAAATTTTGGTATATAACAACAACAACAACCATAGAGTCGATGTAAGCAGTTGACATCGTAATTAGTTAGAAAGACAAGTTCATACTTCATATGTGTTGAATTATTAAATTCATAAAACCCCATTTCAAATATGCAATGTAAGTGCTAAAATTTGAAGCATTTGCGGATAATGCATGGTACTTGTAAGAAAATCAACGGGGAGAGAGAGAGAGAGAGAGAGAGAGGGAACCGACGGGAAAGCCAGGATGTGGTGGAATCAGCTGCAGACTTGCCGGAGCAGATGGCGGATATCACATACAAAGACGAGAAGACAATCCCAATTATTACAGCGGCGTATATCGTCGCGAACACTGGTTTCGCCTTGTCCAACGCATTCTTCCACCCCATTCTTCCTTCCATTTTTTTTTTTTTTTCCTTAGTGGGCGATTTTGGTTATTTGATCACCATTCCCGCGTTATTACCTTCTTCCTTCTTCTTTCTTCTGGGAGGGAAGAAGAAGAAAGAAAACCGAAAATCCTAATTGAAATCCCAATCAATCTGAATCTGAAAAAAAAGGGAGATTTATTTCAATTTGTCTTCTTATCTGCTCTCACAGGCTGCCCAGCTGCGAGGTCAACCCTTCCAGGCTTCATGTTTGCCCGTTCTTCTCACAATTTCTATTTATTTTAACTAGAAAAACCCACGTGATTACTAAAAGGGATAAACTTGGCTCCTTAATTGTTAATGAAGAGTTGCTTTTCAATAAGAGGGTATTCGATTAGAATTTTGAGAAATTTTAGTTCTTTTAATGAATTTAAAAATATTTAACTAAGATTTTAAATAATTCTTTAAAATTCAGCAAGTATTCAATCAAGATTTTAAGATGGTTTATTAAAATCATTTGTGTCACATCTCAACCCGGGCTCCCATCACATCCGGGCTTGACTATATCATAACGCAATATTGTTCGCTTTGGGCCCCTACCACACCCTCACGGTTTTGTTTCTGGGAACTCACATGAGAACTTCCCAGTGGGTCAACCATCATGGGATTACTCTCGCGCAAACTCGCTTAACTTCGAAGTTCTGATGGAATTCGAAGCCTGAGCTCCCAAAAGGTCTCGTGTCAGGTAGAGATGAAATAATACATATAAGGCTTACAGGATCCACTCGCCTGAGCGATGTGGGATCTTACAATTTGAAATCCAACTGCATTCAATTAAAATTTAAAAAAAGTTTATAAGGTGTATTCAATTATGAATTTATTTTAAAATTTTTTAAAAAGTTAAGGAATTTGAGGGATTTCGTAATGTATTTTAAGTATTAATAAATCTCACCTCTCCTCTCAGATTTCGATGAAATTGAATCAAAACTTTATATGAAATCTCTACAAATCAATTAAACTCCATCACAACCTATGAATGTATAAAACCTTTAAATTCCCTCAAAATCTCAATTGAATGCACCCTTCTTATTTTGTCGTCATGAGTACTAAAATTAAAAATAAAAAATAAATACAAGAAAAGAGGGGGGACATACAAAACAAGTGGTTGAAAAAAAAAAATGGGGCACTAGACCTTAACCCTCTTGAAAAAAGAAAATACAAGAAAAAGATAAGGTGGACATGGACCAAACCTCCCCAAAATAAAACCTAAAAGGTAAGAACCTGCAAGACAAGTTGCAAAACAAAAAAGGAAAATCCAAAAAACAAGTTAAAAAGAAACCACACATCAAGAAAGGGGGACACCTGTAGATTGGCATACCCAATAAATTTGATTTTAGAAAAGAAAGAATCTCTATAGGAGGAGTAATATGCCAAACAAGTGAAGACGAGAGAAGCCATAAATTGGCCAATTTATCAGCAACTGCATTCCCTTCTCGAAATGTATGAGAGCAACGAAATACCATGTGCTGTAATTGGGAAATACAGTTCTTCCAACAAGTCTAGAGCGACCAAGGAAGACAAAAAGAACCAAAAGCAAAGGAAGATACCACACTAGAAGCAATGTTCTAAAAATCGGCCTAGGTGGCGCCTAGGCGCTGGGTGATGGAGCTCCAACCTGATTTAGACCAAAACGTTCAGTTAGGTGGGGAGGACTTAGGTGGGCTAGGGGGAAATCCAGGCGGTTTGAATCTCGTTGCAAATCCCAAACTCGTTGCAATTTTGCAGAGCCCCGGTGAATTTTTGCAGCTCGTCTTTGTGAAGATGAGGGAAGAGAGAGTGCAAAAAGGAAGAGAGTGTGTGAAGAGAAAGAGAGAGAGAGACTATTAAACATTTCATTATGTGGTGGTGCAAGTTGGATTTGAGATCCAATTTTGAGGTTCTGATTCTTCTGAAAGGGTGAAGAAGAAGAAAGAAGATGAGGGAATAGAGTGCGAAGAGAGAGAGAGAGAGAGAGAGAAAGAGACTAAAAGATCCAATTTTGAGGTTCTGAAAAGGAAAAGAAGAAGAAACGAACAAGTTATACAAATGACATTTCACTTTCCAAGGTAAAAAACTGGTGATGACTAAGGTCTACCTTGGGTGATGTGAAATAGGGTGGACAGCTACTACTTGAGGGGTGATGACTGATGACTAAGGACCACCCACTTGCCTGGGCTTTTTATATAAATGTTATGTGTCATCACCCACTTGCAAGTTTGGGATATATATTATATATATAAATGTTATATAAATTATAAATTATTTAGATAATATTTTGTTTTTTTTTCCCTAGGCAAGCATATTATATATGTACATAAAACATTCACATATGTATATTCTTCTATAAGAAATAACATATTATTCAATAATTATTTACATCTGATATAGTAAATTTAATTAATTCATATAATATATAAGAAATTTACCTAAATCCACCTAGGCCGCCTAGGCGCCTGACTAGATCCCACCTAGCTGCCTAGGTGCTAGCCCACCGCCCAACCTTGACTAGAAGAGTCACTTTCAAGCCATAAATTTTGTCAACCTTGCTCGTAGGCCAACTCCATAGCAAGAATGACAGCATGAAGCTCCGCATAGAAAGAAGTACAATGCCCCAAGTTTAGTGAGAAACCACCAAGAAAATAATCTGCAAAATCTTGGAAAACCCCACCATAAGCTGTAGGACCTGGTTTACCTTAGTAAGGCCATTTGTATTCACTTGACGTAGGAAAATGGAGGGGATGCAAAATAATAGGAACTATAAAATGAAGGGACGCCAAATAATGGAAGCCTATCCAGAAACACGTACATGACCATGAGTGAAAACTCACACCTACCTAATCCATGCCAAGGTGGAACGACAAAGGCATGAAAAAGATGAAAAAGAATGAGGCTTACTTTCAAACTTCATTTTATTACGCATCTTCCAAATAGTCATTAGTAAGAAAAACCCTAATGTTGGTCATACATTGTGAAGTTATGAAGAAAACTGCTTGACACTAAAACAAGCTATAAATCCGAGAAAGAATCAGTAAACTGAAAAATAGTGCCAAATTGAGTGGCAAGCCAACACCAGGCATGTTGTGTAAATTCACAACTAAAAGAATAAGGGCTCATAAATTTAGAGTTATTGTAACATAGTTGGCATATTGGAACCATAGGAATGCCCCGTCGTTGAAGTTGATCCTCTGTTAAGAGTTTTTTGAAAAGAATCTTCCAAACTAAAATAGATTAGTGATGTGGAATGAAGGGACGCCAAATAATGGAAGCCTAACTCTTAACAGGAAACCGATGATGAACATTTTCATAGCCATCAAAAAATGAAAAGACTCCAAATGTAGAAGTTTCCCAAAATGACACGTCATTGTCCTCATCAATTGGAAGAGGCATCTCTAAAATCTCTTTAGTCAAATCTGGAAAAGTAAAAGAAAAAAATAGAAGAAATAACCCATTTTCCTATATGAATAATGTTTGAGACCTTAGTGTGAGATAGAGAATGAGCAAGTTAAGTAGCACCAATAACCTCCACAATAGGCATAACTAACCACTTATCAACCCAAAGAGAAGTTGTTCGGGCAAAGATTTCTCTAGAGAAGACTCCTTGGACCTCAACACAGCTCCCCAAAGGATTGGCACTTTGGATGTATATGTTTGGTAGTCGGGCTCTTACTTACCTTGTGTGCTGCAATTAGAGCTTAAAGTTAGTTCTGAAAGGTGCCTTTGTGGGGCCTTAGGTGTAGACCTTGAAGCTCGCAATCAAAACTAACTAAATGCTTAGGTGTGCCACTGGTATCTCAGTATAGCAGATGTTGAACAAGTGTGTTTTAAGTTGATGACTTGGGCCCCAAGTTACTCCAACTTCTTGTTACCAAAGGATTGTCATAGATGGATTAAGTCTATATTAAGTTCTTTTTCTTGCCTTGTAAATAAGGACTTTTAGTTCATGGTTTTGTATGTTTGAATGAAGGAAGTCCAGAGCCCATTAAGTTATTCGTTTAATCCTAAACTAATCTTTAATGAAAACATATCCATTAAGCTAACCAGATTCAGATGCAAATGAGACTCTTAAAATAGAAAAATAGGTGGAAATAATACATGCTAGAGAATGCATTAAGCAATATATCTACTAATTTAGAAAACAAACAAAGAGCTTTGGGCAAGATTTAACCTTGTTTGGCAAGGTTGAACTTCTTGCAGTCACTTCTCTTTGAATTTACAGGGGTTGTATGCTAAAAAGGGATGGATGGTAAACAAGTTTACACAAGGGAATCGATACTGCAACACTGAGGGATGTAGCAGAGCTTTTACACTAGAGAAAAGATAACTTTCTAAGGAAACTATTGGCTAAAGAACTAAATCTAGGTTGATTTCAGCTTTTGAATGCAAATCTAGCTTGAGAGCAGAGTTTGTATGTTTGTTTGATTGGTTGTTTGAGTGTCTTTGTCTCTGGGGCCTGCCTTCCCTTTTATAGACAATTTGGCCTGACTGTTGTAACTTTTGCTCTTGCCCAAAAGCACTTTGAGGGTAGTGAGTCATCGACTTTTTACAAACAATGCCACTGGAAAATGCTCTTTGGTTGATAGTAGGTTAGTCTTCATCACTTGTCATTTCAATTATAGGCACGTGGCTTGTATCTTGGCTGAGAAGGCTTTAATTTGCTTCTAGGTTCGATGCTGGGCTTCGAGCAAGTCTCCCTTTTAGTTGGCATCCTTGGGTTTCCTTCATTAAAGCCTAATATTCAAATATTAACCCAAACAGTGCCCCCTTTAATCATTGTTAAGTTTGCAAATCGAGGTGTTAATGATGATTAAACAACCTCCGCATGCCTTTACTCGGGACTTGCACCAATCAAAACAACCATTTGTTTAACAAAACATTTGCCCTAACCCACGAATTCCAATGTTAGGTAACTGCATTACTATATAATCTTCAGTTAAATCCCTTAGCCAAATACCTTGGCAATTCCAAACCTTCAAATTTCCAGAATCCCTAGTTTTCTAAGAATTTCCCAGAATTCTCTCTTATTTCTGCTCTTTCTTGCTTCCTGACTTCAATTATTCCCTATTCTTTTCGAAATTAACCAATGGTCCCAAAAACTACTCCATCTCCCTGTGAATCAAGCAAGGGCATCACCACCATGTGTCACTTGTTCAAAGACCTTCATCGCCCTTAGGCAGGCTTGCAGACTTCACTTTTCTTCGAAGAGGGAAGGGTGCACTCCCTGGGGCCTGCGTGGACCTTTCAGGTCCCAAGTGTAGTAGAAAGTAACATGCCCAAGGCAAACTGGTTCACCCCCAACCCGTACTTGGCCAAGTCGGGCAT